CTGCCGGACCTCAACCACGACCATCCACGCCCAGTGTTCCCTGCCGGGCCTCAACCACGACCATCCACGACCAGTGTTCCCTGCCGGACCTCAACCACGACCATCCGCGCCCAGTGTGCCCTGCCAGACCTCAACCACGACCATCTACGCCCAGTGTTCCCTGCCGGACCTCGACCACAAACACACAACCACAAACACACAATCACAAAGACCCAGCCACAACCACAACCACAACTACAAACACACAATCACAACCACTACCAGTCCCACAAACACAATCACAAACACACAGCCACAAACACACAAGCACAAACACAACCACAGCCACAACACAGCAAACAACCACAACCACAGCACACAACCACAGCACACAACCCGAGGACCCACAAGCAACATCGAGAACTACAATATTCACGACCATGGCAACATGCTCCTCACTATGGCATCAAGACAAATGATTGAAATGTCATGGTGGGGACCACTCGAAGTAAAGTAATGTCTTTGTTGTTTTTGTTGTTGTGGTGACGGTTGTTGTAGTATTGCGGCAAACAAAAACATCATAATGCCAAAAAAGTGTGGCAAACCGGGGAGCATTACTTGCACCACCACCGCCCCATGTATACCCACATGAACAAAAACGACAGTCAACAATGCAACAGGCCACTACATACTGTAAATTACTAGATGGTCTGCAAAGGCCTCACCATTGCTTATGCAACCCCTCAAAAGGTGGCGTTGTCTCTGCCCCTCCTAGAAGTTCAAAAACACTAAAAACGGACCAACCCAGACTTCAGTAGTGAAACAAGTCCAACAAGTCCAGCGACTTACGAAACCAACATTGACAAAAACCTTCAACCGTCTCCCTAACCTTGTCCCCTTGATGTTCCAGAGTCACAACATATGACGACGACTATGGCGGGCGGCTATTTTGTGTTTCTACCATCAACAACAACAAGAATAAGTATAAACAAACAGACTGAGACCAGGGGTGCATAAGGAGACATAGGCACAGCAGGTTGAAAATATGGTTAAAGCAAAATGATCTATGTCAACTACAATGAGCAGGAACCGAGTCAAAGGAAAACGGAACTAAACATGATGTGTATAGGTCTAAACTTGTTTCCTAGATTCATGTGTGAAAGAGGCAACTTCTAAAGAGGAGAACTCCTGTCTTCTCAATCTACCTCGGAGTCATGACGATGAAACATGGACTCAAAAGCTTGCACGCTCACAGTTCCAGACACCCCAAAAAATGCTCCAGTCCCAACAACTATGCGGCAGTCGCCCACCTATTCATCCCAAACCCGCTCCTGCTTCGTGAGCGCTTGCCGCGGTTCGATCGGCTCCGGTGCCGGTCGAACTTGGGCGTGCCTTCGCCGGAGGTGGGACGCGGATGGGGGACGCGGAGGTGGAAGAGCGGCCGGTGCCTAGAATGCCCCCCCCCAAACCGCCACACCAACTCTGGTGCCAACCTACTGGAAGATCTACTGCTTAAGCCGTCTATGTTATAGAAGTTATAAGTTCATTTACCGGAGTACAAGTTCACTTGTACTTCAGTATATTAACTTGTATTTCAATAAGTAGCAATAACTATAGTTATACTTATCATACTTATAGGTTTTTTCTATCTAAGTTACTCTAGAAAAAGTAAATTTTAAGTAATTTATAAATAGATTGAGTTTATTTAAAGGGAAGATATAAGTAACTTACAACTTAGTTATACAAAGTTATTTCTAGTTACTCATAGTTACAAAACCTATTTTTAAGAAAAACGATCAGATTTTGGCAGCACCGAGGTGGCCGCGCAATCTACGTCCAGGTCGGATGAACAGCGGCGGGAAGTCTGAGTGACTTCCACATACGGTGGCATCTATTGCGCGCCAGAGGAAAAAAGAGCGCGGGAAGGCGTTGGGTTTTCCGAACCGTGGCCTTATACACAGATATAGAGGTTTTAATCTTTAGTGTAAAGTCTGCAACATTACATACAAGTTCATGTTTTTGAGGTGCACCAATGTCGGTCGATGTAGGACCGTCGATAGGACACCTCGGAATACACTATGTCGGCCAACGTCGGCCATACATAACTAGCTAGGGCCCGCGTTACAGAGCTAGCGTAACTGCATCAGGTGGTGATGTCGGCCAACGTCGGTCAATGTAGGACCGGTATCGGATAAAAACAAGCAAACGTAGACTTTTCAGCTGCAGGCTTTCGAGATTCGACCCTTCGCCGAGGCCTGAGGCGCGCTGTCTGGGTGGTTCCCTGCGCATAGCCGACGTTGTATAGTGTGGCGTTGGCCGACACACGCAGGACAAGTCGAAGACATTGTCGTGTCGGAACACACCCCGCTGCACGTCTGTGTGCGCAGGCTAAGTCGTTCGTTCTACGAGATGGGGCTCGGTATGGAACGTTAGTGACAGGAGAACCTGGCGCAACATGATGTCTTCTGCCACGTGGCTACGTGCCATGTGGTGGCGGTCGTCCGGGGGGACGCTCGAATGCATCCACTGAGCTGAACGCGTAGCCTGAACGTTTGCGTGCGCGAAAAAAAGGTTGCTTTTGACCGAGTTATAAACTACTTATAAATCACTTCTGAAACTTATATCTTATTTATATATAACTTATAAGTCATAGTTATAACTCTGTGTAACTTGATTCCTAAATGCCTTAACTATACTTATATCTTCTATAACCAAACCGTCTTAAGCAGTATGCTCCAGAAGTGCGTTTTTCTGTTTTTCCCCCCGAAGAAACTAGAATGGTTTCAGAGGTGAGAAATGGCACAAGGGCGATGGCTTCTGAAGTTGGTTCAAATGTTCAGTACGTATTCGAAGGGGATTCACAATTCTCATAGGCTATTGGTAGGAAAAAGTATCTTTTGGCCAGGAAGCCTGGCGGTCGCCAAACACCATGCTCAACTCTTTTTGAGTTTAAGGCTTCAAAAAACCAGCCATCAGCTGTGAAGGAAGAAAGCTCTGTCCGACCTTGCAGATCAGCCACCCATCAATGACCAGAGCTTCAATGGTAGTTTCATAGCCAAAACCTGGCAGAAAATCCTTGATGGAATGGTTAGGAATTCTATGTGTCTTTTGCTCAAGTGGCCACCTGGTTCTGCTGTCATGTGCTCTGAACCTACTCCGTCCCCAGGTACGGCGTGCTCCCCCCTTCCCGGCGCACCATGCGTCTTCGGGGCATCTCTGTAGCCTACAAGGCGCACACGACACCTACGTAGGACACCGAAAACACCTTGTGAGGTTGTCTTTGGGGATGGGGGCACTGGAGACTCCATTCCTATCTTCTCGGTTCTCAATTTGTCCCTACAACAACGTATAGTCAAGATGAATATGAATTTACCATCTATACCAGCTTTTCGGGTATGTCCAAGACAACTCTTGCTTCTAGATCACCAGCTGGTCCGGTCGAAAAACCAGCACAGGTTGGGATTCACTTGACCGGATCTGAAACCATCCCAAGGTCTGTTTTGGGTGGTGAAAACGTTTCACCGCAAAGCCACTGAAATGGGTTCGGTTGGTATTATAATCGGGGCACCCTCCACCAATGGGTTGTGGTATATTCTCCTTCTTCCAGGGGGTCCTACGGAGTCCCCTATTCTAAAGATCTGCACAACCAGAAGTTGTTCCCAACACCTGCGAAAGTAAATAACCAAACAAAAAAAAATTCGGAGGGAATAAAGAACGACTTGGTGACCAAACACACAAGCACACCAATCGTTCAACTGGGATGAACACCTTGTGTTTGCCCTTCTTTTTTTTCTCTTCAAGCCCTTTCATCCAGGCCCCGCTAGTTGCTGCTGCCTGGCGACCGGAGCTCCTTACGCCTGGAGACCTGCAACACTGGGCCAAGCTGGGAAAGCCCTGGAGCTTCTAAGTCTGTTGTTGTGTATAATGTTTTTTGCGTTTTCATCCCTAAAGCTAGAAACATTGATAGAGATTGCAATGAAAAACAACACAGTCTTGCATAGTTGGAAGGTGTGACAAGATAAACATAGAGGGAAGACTGAGCCAAGAGTGCAGGTTCGGGAGTACAGTTTCACTACGCTTCAAGAGAAAACTGACTTCACTCGCTTATCTTAGGTCCTGTCTGACAGGTGTTGATGAGGTTCCAAAGAACGTAAGGGGTGAAGTCCCTTTTAAGTCTGGTCTTTGGCGTGAACCACTGTTAAAACAACCCTCCGGGTCGGAAATAGAACCTGTGGCTGTGTGCATTTGCAAACATGAGAAAGTCTTCAAGCCACAAAAACCATGTAAAAATCCAACATGTTTTATGATGTTTTATGTCATTATTTGTCATGTATGCATAGAGCCTGACTGGGCGCCCTACAACGCCATGTGTTTTGCATTGAAATCTATGTTTCTATCTAAAGGGCGTCATTTCGTGAGTGTTGTATATTGGAGAAAACTGTAGAAACCAATGGGAAGTGCAACGCAAAACTTGCACGTTTGTTGGCGGCCTTTTTCACATATCCTCGGACAGCTGCTTGCCGCAGTCTGACATCAGGTCCTTCGAGCCCGTGCGCATGAAGCGCCACTGCCAAGAACGAATCCTGCGCTCAATGCTGCAAGTTTTCGAACTCAACGATTTTGGCACATGTTCTTTCATGCGAGTCCACATTGCATCAATGCTCAATGCCGCCAGTGTGCACTCCTGACCGTTCTGCAAAACTCGCCAGTGTTACGTCATGGTTGACGCTGAAATGATGCATACTACACTCTCTAGCCATTCGAGGGTAACAAGGGGCGCCATCAGCGAGGTCGTCGTGTCCGGATTCGCTTTCCTCTTCTGAGCTCACACCCACGCACACATGGGCCAACCCTCGCAGGGCAGGAGCATCCAGAACTGGAATGGGAGTAGCGCGAGGTGGTGTGGTTGGCGCGCTCAAGTTCCATCGCAGAAGCTGGCTCAGGTTCCACGAGCAGAGAAAACCACGACTTCAAGCGAACACTCATCAGTCTGTCGCGCCAAAAACAGAAGAAGTCGTCCTCCAGTTGCGGCCGATTAACATAGATGGCCATCCTATGAGACAGGATCCTCATGGCAGCCTTGTGTGATCTGACAGTCGTCCAAGCCGAGACGACAAGTCAATCAACCACGGTAGACACCGTCGCAGTACGTCCCACGGCAGAAGACGCAAAGCGGAGTCTTCTAAGAGCACACTGTTGAGCACATTCACAGCTTCATCTTCCCGCTCACGTCTATGCAAGACCTGTGATGTCCCAACCAAGCTGGAAGGACAATAAAACATGATGTATTGGAGGGTGGAAAAACATACCTCAAAAGGCTTTTTTGAAAATCCAGCCGGCCACATCATGAAATTCATCGAGCTCAGTGAGAGACAGGCTGTTGAACTGATGCAGGTTCTACTGATCACACGACCGAAACCAGCCCACCCCCGAACCACCCCCAAACCTCCCGTAGTGTCTTCTGTCGTCGCATCAACAACTCATCACCATCGTGTTGGATTGATCACACGAACGAAACCAGCCCACCCCCGAACCCCCCCAAACCTCCCGTAGTGCCTTCTGTCGTCACATCAACAACTCATCCTCCTCCTCCTCGTCCTCCTCCTCCTCCTCCTCCGCCTCCTCATCCTCATCCTCATCCTCATCCTCCTCATCCTCCTCCTCATCATCAGCAGCAGCAGCCGCAGCATCCTCATCCTCGTCATCATCATCATCATCATCATCATCATCATCATCATCATCATCATCATCATCATC